AGCAGCAGCAGCAGCAGCAGCAGCAGGAAGCAACGAAATTGTTCCCAGAGATGTTCCTCTAGACCGGGGCCTTTCAAATACCGACTGGGCCAACGTGAGCCACAAATTGGGGTGTACGTACACCTCAAATCAGGGTTTACGTACACCCCAAATTGGGGTGTACGTACACCTCAGCGCTGCGCTGCACTTCTGTTTTTGCCTTTGTGGGGTTTTTGGGATTTTCTGAATCTCTTTTTTCCTTTCTTTTTCTTTCATTTTGTTTTAATTCTTCTTTTTTGATTCTTTTCTCTCAATTGATTTATTTTAATTATTATTCTTATTTAATAATTCATTTATTCTTCCAGCCGCGGCCTCGCCCTGAGCCAGTCTTTTAAAACCCGCCTTTCCTTGCTGCTTTTTATTTCTTCTTATTTCTCCTTATTTCTTTTTGTTTTCCTTTATTTCTTGTTATTTCTTTTATTTCTTTTTACTTTCTAATATCCTTTTGTCCCCATTTATGTCCATTTGTGTCCTTCATCTCCCTTTCCCCTTTTGCACCTTGTCTCGGCTTGACTTGTCTTGCTGCTGCTGCTGCTGCTGTTGCTGCTGCTGCTGCTGCTGCAGCTGCTGTGCACCGCCATAGTGTTGAACAGCACAGGAAGTCTCTCCACGGAGACGGAGGGGCCCCGGGGGACCTCTGGCGAAGTGCGGAAGGGCTTTGGGGCCTCTTGCTGCTGCTTCGGCTCGGGTGCAGCAGCAGCAACAGCAGCAGCAGCAGCAGCAGCAGCAGCGGAAGAAGCAGCAGCAGCAGCAGCAGACGAACAAACGCCCCACCACGTCGGAAGCCCCACAGAATGTGCTCTTCTAGAATTAGTCGCTCTTTTAGGGTTTGGAATTGAACCCCTCAGGAAGAAGCAGCTGCTGCTCTACGGAGATGTGAGTGCTCGGGTGTACGTACACCTCAGCGCCCCACACGGAAGTGTTGCCAATTGTTTTTTCTTTATTCATTTTTTCTTTTTTTTCTTTTGCTTTTTAGTTTTTCTTTCTTTTTATTTTAAATTGTTTTATTTTTCTTCATTTTGTTTTACTTTGTTTTATTTTGTCTTATTTTGCTTTATTTTTTCTCTTTGTCTCTTTTTATTGTCGCTGCTGCTGCTTTGCTGCTGCTTCTTTCTCCTAAAACCCCTTTGTTGCTGCTGCTTTGCTGCTGCTCCTGTCTCTTTTAGCCTGTTTTCCGGGAGCCCTTTACGAGCGACCGCAAGATAATGACGACAGTGGTGTCGCTGCAGCAGCAGCAGCAGCAGCAGCAGCAGCTGCTGCCGCTGCTGCTGCCGCAGCGGGGGCCCGAAGCAGCAGCGCCCAAGGGAAAGAAGAGGCGGGACAGCCGCAGCAGCAGACGCAGCAGCTGCAGCAGCACAGACAGCCGGCGCTGCAGCACGGCGAGCAACGGGAACCGGCTGGCAGCAGACCCCGCAGCAGCAGCAGCAGAAGCAGCAGCAGTAGCAGCAGCAGCAGCAGCAGCAGACACCAACCAGCCCACTGAAGTTGGGGCTTACCGGGTTTATGTAAAAGGAGCAGCAGAGTCTGTGCTGCGGCTCTGCAGCCACATAGTGGTGCCCCCCGGCCTTGCTGCTGCAGTGGCGCCCCTCAGCAGCAGCAGCAGCAGCAGCAGCAGCAGCGGGGAGAACCTGTGCCCCGACCTGTGCGTGGTGCCCCTCTCAGCAGCAGCAGCAGCAGCAGTGGAGCAGCAAGTCATTGGGGCCATGGCGGGCCAGGCCCTCCGCACAATTTGCGTGGCTTATAAAGATTTCTTTGGAGACAAAAAAGATTCTTCTTGGAAAGAAATCAGTCCAAACCCTCCCTTCAAACAAGTCGAGTCCGGCCTCACTTGCCTCGCCATTCTTGGAATCAGGTCCGCAGCGAGGGTTTAGGGTTTAGGGTTTAGGGTTTAGGGTTTAGGGTTTAGGGTTTGGGGTTTAGGGTTTGGGGTTTAGCGTCGGCGGCGGCGGAAAGCCAGCAAACGCCTGCGAACTACGGGGAGCCCTTTAAGCCCCTGCCTGGCTGCCCTGGCCTCGGGCTGCAACCCTAGGGTTTAGGGTTTAGGGTTTAGGGTTTAGGGTTTAGGGTTTGGGGTTTGCAGAGACCCCGTGAGGGAGGAAGTCCCTGCTGCAGTAAGGGCCTGCCAGGCCTCGGGCATTAAAGTGCGGATGGTTACGGGGGACAATTTGGAGACGGCGAAGCAAATTGGCATCAAGTGCAACATATACCACCCCGAAGAAGGTAGGGTTTAGGGTTTAGAGTTTAGGGTTTAGGGTTAGGGTTTGGGGTTTGGAGGTGGGCTGTGGGTGGCGCTGGGTCGGCGGGCGGAGTTTGATGGGCTGCGTCAGCTTCTGAGGGTTTAGCGCTAGAGGCCAAACAGGCACCAAACACTAGCCCCCTCGCCACAAACCCTAAACCCTAAACCCTTAACCCTAGCAGGGGTTTTGCGAGTTGCTGAAGTGTTTCTAGGGTTCCCCAGTTTTGCTGTGTGCCTTGATTGGAACCGCGGTGAGCGCTTCCGCGCGAAGACCCCCTTCGGGTTTGCCGAGGCTTTAGGGTTTAGGGTTTAGGGTTTAGGGTTTAGGGTTTAGAGTTTGCGCAGACGGGCTGGCGATGACGGGCGCGGAGTTCAGCCGCCTCGTGGGGGGAGTTGTCTGCAGCGTTTGCTGCACTAGGGTTTGCGATTGCCCCACAAGTGCAGCAGCAGAACGTCGGGAGGGAAAGAAGCAAAGAAAGGATGTTGTCAAGGACTTGGAGGCCTTCAAAACCATCGCCCCCAGGTGCGCGAGGGTTTAGGGTTTAGGGTTTAGGGTTTGGGGTTCGAGGGCGGCGCGGCGGTGGGGAGGGCTCAGGTGGTGAGAAGGTTTCGGTGGTTTCTCGAGCCGGGAGCTAGGGTTTAGGGTTTGGCATGGATACGCTTATTTGGGCTTTAGGGTTTGCCAGAGTCGGGTATTCGAGGCTGTCTATGGCTTAGATGCAAGGGTTTAGGGTTTAGGGTATAGAGCTTGGCTTCCAGCAGAAGTGCTGCACAAAGCAGCGCCGCACTGCTAAAAATGCCAGTACTGAAGCCCAAGATTTAGGGTTTAGGGTTTAGGGTTTAGGGTTTAGGGTTTGCGGCCAGGCTCGAGGTCCTGGCCAGGTCCCAGCCCCTAGACAAGTTCGCCCTCGTTTTGGGGCTGCAGCAGTTGGGCGCTGTCGTGGGGAGAGAGGGTGGAGCGC